CTCTTTGTTACTATATAATCTACCTGACGGGCGGCTTCATTTCTGTTACTTTTGAGAGCTTGGTGGGCATTACTTCTATTACCTAATGGCTCTCTTCATTCATCCATGGTTCAGGGGGACGTCTGACGATTCGTGTCATGTAGGGAGCCAGCGCATCAATGCTGTTTTTAATAACTTCCGTAAGAATGGTTACTTGTTTGTTTATATTATCTGTCTATAAAATATCCAACAGTCATATTTTAGACATGATTACCCAGCAGAATGATTTAGTGCCATAGTGTTTGAAGTCGCAAAAAGGTTTTATTACCGGTGGTCGTTATGAGTTCAAGGTCAGACACAAGGCACGGGATAACGTCAGAGCGGAGAATGATGTGTGATCTGTTAGTCATTATTACATCTAATAGAGATGAGGTGTTTACGGAAATCCGTGTAGGTTTATTTATTATTTGTTCGAATCTATTTTTCTTAATTATCTTAACTAACTTACCATTAGGTTTTGTTTTATGTTTTATGTTCTATTTCTATGGCATGCGATTTGGTCACCGGCAATCTTGGTCAAACATCCTGATCGCTCTTGTACATGTTTTTGTTCAACATTATCGGGAAAAGCGTCAGTCTATAAAGATGTTCTTTCCCCTTACTGACAACGTGAAGCTTTTGTAGTCGTCATATGTCATTACTTGTGGGCTTTTGATATATTTTGAAACATTTCAGAGAGATGTTCTGCTATGTCCTCTTCGTCTGTGTCTGGGAGGCAGCTGGTGATGTAGAGGCAGAGTGTGCCAGGGCGATCTACTCCCTTTAATGGCTCTGGCGTTTGCTGTTCACCTCTGGCTTTTTTCCTCTGGCTTCTTGGCATGACTCTTCGTCAACATTTTTGGTTGGAGTGTGTCAGTTTGCTTGTCTCTTGAGTGGGTTTTACTCTGTCGGTTAATGATTACTGATATCACTGCGTTGTTCGAGTTGCTTGTTCTTCCTACTGTTTTTATTTTATTTTCTTTTTTCTTTCTTTTTTTCTTTTCTAAAGTTTAGTGTAAGTGTTCCTTGTGTAGAAGCTTCAACCGTCATCTTATTAGGGGAGTTGTCTTTGAGTCTCTCGGACTCAATCTTGGGGGGGGGGGGCTGGTCGTGGGTACGGGCATGGAGGGTAAGGAGGAGGGGTTGTCGGTTCCTTATTTCATTGGGGCAGAGGCAGACCGCGTTGTAGCTGGGGGAGGAGGAAGAAAAGGAAAAAAAAACTTCGTATGCAGAGAACGGAAAGGAAAGGGAAAGGAAAAAGCCTCGTACGTGGAGAAGGAAAAGGAAAGGAAAAGTAAAAAAAGAAAAAGCTTCGAATATAACGAAATAAAGGGAAAAAAAGGAAAAAAAAAGGATTCGTAAGTGGTCTGTCCTACCACATACCTGGGAGGTGGGAGGGGGGTGGATTGGTTTTTGTGTGATCCCGCTGTCCTTGTTTGTCTTTGTACTTGTCCTTGCCCAATGACTTTATTTTATAGCCGACGGCTTTCTAAAGAACATTCCGATCAGCAAGTCAGATTTTGACCTGTGTCGGATGGCTCATAATGGGTCTGTGTTTCTTGGTCTGTACTCTTCTGGGAAAAAAAAAGTTGTAGTAGTAGTAGTATCATCATTACTATCATCATCATTATCATTAACATCATTATCATTTTCATTATCATCATCTTTATCATCAGCATTAGTACTACTACTACCATTAATGATAATAATGTTGATTATGATAAGTATCATAGCAGCAATAATGATAATTGTAAAAATAATAACAATGATAATTATAAGAAGAAGAGTAACACTAATAATGATAATAACCATAATAATGACAACTATTATCATCGTTACTGTTACTATTGTCATCAATGAGAACAATAATGATTATAATAATCATTCTACAAGTAATGATAATAACAATAGTAATAATGATAACAATAATGATAGTGATAATAATGATGATAATAATAATGAAAAGGATAATAACAATGAAATGATAATAAAAATAACACTAATAATAACAATAAAAGTAATGACGATAGTAGTAGTAATTAATAATGATTAATAATGATAATGATAGCAATAACAATAATAACAATTATAATAATGATTAAGTATATAATAACATTAATAATATTTAATAATGATAATGATAATAAAAATAATGATAATGATAACAATAACAATAATGATAATTTAAATAAAGCTAGAAAATATGAAAATAGTAATAATAACGATAATAATAAAGAGAAAAGTATAATAATGATAATAATAATAATGATGATAACAATAATAATAATGATAATAATAGTAGTAATGATAATAATAACAATAATAATAATAATAACAATAATAATAGTAATAATGATATTCATGATACTACTACTACTACTACCAATAATAATAATAATAATAACAATGATAATAGCTATAATGATATTGAAAATAATAATGATAAACAATAATTTCAGGGAAATATGTAGAAAATAAAACT